CCTTTTGGAGGTGGAACTTTCTTACTATGGGTATTTAGCATAATGGGGCTCCAAACTCAGCTGAGCTCTCAAAGTGCTCCCTTAATACAAATAATAATGTTCATGTAACTGGAACATTAGCTTTGGCCAACAACAGTCATAATGCAAACAGGCAGGGTGTAATCTTGCAAGCTTTGCTCTGTGCATGCGCCTCAGTCTTGACCCACCAACATCTGTGCTATTCTAGTTGTGGTCTTTTCTTGACAGCTGTGGAAGTAATGAAAATCCCAACAAGCTCACTTTCACAGGGGTCATTTCCAAATCTTGATTTGCCTTAAACTTGTTTACTTTCAGAAAGCTTCTAAACTACCAGTTGGATTAGTGCATTTTAAGGGCAGAAGAGAACCTAATTCACATTGGAAATATTTAGTCTAATATTTATTTCTTGATCACTAGTCACATCTGCCACCAGAGGTTGCTCAGCCACAGCTCAGCTCAATCCTATAAGCTTCTTTTGTTACAATCATAGCAATTGCAGCTTTCGGTGATGATAATAGTGTAGCATCAGGACCAGAGGGAGTAAGTAGAGAAGGCCTAAACAGGAAGACCCAGGCAGAAGGCATCAGGGGAAGGTGACAGACACAAAGAATGAAAAGGACAGATTACTGTCTGAGTTTTTAAAAATAGACCAGTAACCTCCCCAGGAAACATTAAGATGTCAGACATGGAGTCTCCACTCCCTGTTCACTTTCTTCCTACCCTTCTGCATGCATCTCCCTTTATGCGCCTTCTCCACTCATTCACTCCCCGCCCTCAGTCCTGCTACAATATTATCAGCATTTTGTCAGAATCTACAATAATTTTCTTAAATATTGGTAAGGACAAAAATTGAAATTCAACAGTATCTCTGAAAGCAACAATGTCACAAAACAAAAGTCATTGTTTTTTTCATGCTAATAATGACAAACTCCCGCAAGACACATTGCTAATTCTGATGTTAGAAGTGAAAATTACAGTGTCTGCTACCACTACTACCAGATCATTTATTGGAATGGCCAACTATCTTCCAAAGAGTCATACACTAAAGAAACCCCACTTCCACAAAACTACTGGCCAGTGCTAATAAAAATGCATCTGTTACACTCATTGTTCTCGGAACATAGGATTTGTCATATATCACAAGGCCATTTGTCTTGTAAGTTATATATGCTGCTTCCTGCAGCAGTCAAGAAGTGATGCTTCAAAGGAAGGCAACCACTACCCAAAAGAAACCTGTACTCAAGACCGTGTGACCTCTACAGCAAGCTTGACCTAAAAGTTGTGCACTAAAGTCACTAGCTTCTGAAGCATTCTGGTATGGCAGACTGGAAACGCTGCAGCAGCTTCAGATGAATTTTTAGGGGAGGTTATTTTTACTGAATGTTATCAGAGCAGTATTTCTTGCATTTAATTGGAAAATAATTTCAGTTTACTGTACTTTTTTTTACTGCCCCGTAAGTTGTCAGTGTGCTTCAGATTTTGTATGGACAGTCCACAAATGAAGGAACGGAAGAAGTTGTCAGGCAGCAATAGTATGATACCTGGGGCTTTTAACATCAGTGAAGACATGGAAACTGGTTTGAGATAAACACATCAGCTTGATGTTTCTGCTAAAATTATTACAGTGAGATAATTATCAACCACGACATCACTTGAAACCTCATTGAAATTAACAAGGGCAGTTCACACTTAGAACATTTTTCAGGCTGCCCATAGACTCAGGCAAATACAGTATGTGTTTGTTCCAAAGATGATTTTTCAAACATGAACAAGCATAACTGGGAAAGAAACTTTAATGTTCTTAAATAAAAGTGTAGACTCTAAATGACAATTGTGCATCTAGGGTGTATTCTGCAGTCAATTTCACAGCTATGGGATTGTACTTAACCCCTAACCAAATATGCAATGCTACACATGGGCCAGAGTAGGACAGTCATTCCTGACATGTTGGCAGCTGTTTCTCAGAAACATTAAGTTTCTCATATCTTATCTAGACTAGGCTTTACTTGCCTGTCCCTTGTTCTTGTATCTCAGAACAAAATAAAAGGGAGAGACTGACCAGCTTCCAATACAAATGTTCTAATTCTGATTACCCCACTAACGTTTGTCACTGTATTGTTATTTATGCAACCCAGACTTACACAATGTGGATCTTTATCCCATACTTTGTAAGGGTGGTACATTTATACCACAGCAGTCCCAATCAGGGGTCAGGAGAACAAAGAGTCCCTGCCTCAGAGAGGTCCCAGTGTAAATATATGATAAACTAAAATAGACAGACAAGGCTTGGAGAGAGAGAAGTAAAGATGGATGTGTTTGCATAAGTTAGTAGTCTAAGTGATCAAACTAGTCTTAAGTGGCCACCATCCTAACCAATGCCAAGTCTTGCTCCAACCAGATAAGGTCTGGTCTTCAGTGCTCATCTCTGTATCTATACATTCAAGCTAAGCAATATCTTTCCGAAGGCTAGGTAACCCAAATGAGGTACAACAGCAGCAGTAAAAAGGGCATACCCTACCTAGATACAATGTCACCACAGCATATTAGGCTAGGTCTATATTTATGGTAGCCTGTAGAGTACAAAACTACACACTCACTTAGCACTAATATATGTAGCAGCATAGACAGTGAGGTGGGTAAAGATACGCTAGAACCTTAGGGTATGTACGCTCCTCAGCTCTGTACACACGCAAGCAGAACCTTCCACAACTACACTGCTATTTTTAACATGTAGAATCCCACTGCCTGAACCTTTCCCTGCCTCAGAGAAAGGTGTCGGCCATGGGGAAAGGCTCCTACAGTTCCCTGCTGCCAAAGCCTTTCACTGCAGCATGTAGCTATGCTACTCTATGCACCACGGCTAGCGTAGACAAGGCCTCAGTCAGTCTGTCCCATCCTGCGCTTGAATGCGTGCAACTACCCTACTTGGCTTTTTAAGCTGGTGCGACCGTGGGGACAGAGAACTCCACAGGAGCTCCCAGCACGACAGACAGGGGTGCCATTTAGGGGGGCAGGGGAACTCTTAACTGCAACAGCTTGAGTGTGATATGTGAGGAGTTCAGAAGCTGGAAGCAGCACAGCATTTGGGGCAGGGAGTTTGTTTAAAAACAGAAGCAGGATAATTAAGATAACAAAAGGCTCATCATTCAAGTAAAATAAGGATCCTTAGATGACCCTGAAAGCATTACCAGGCATTCCAGTTAAAAGATAGGAAACAAAGGGGTAGTCTACACTGGCAAGGTTAACATGGCTTGTGTTGTCATGGCTCTAAAAAAACACCTTCAATGTTGATAAATGCAAAGTAATGCACATGGCAAAATATAATCCCAACATACAAAATGATGGGGTCTAAATTAGCTGAACCCGTCAATAAAGAGATCTTGGAGTCATTGTGGATAGTGCTCTGAAAACAGCTGCTCAATGTGCAGTGGCAATCAAAAAAGCTAAGATAATATTGGGAATCATTAGGAAAGGGATAGATAATAAGAGAAAAATATCATATTGCCACTATATAAATCTGCCAACATATTGAATAGTGCAGATTTGGTCCCCCATCTCAAAAAAAGATATATTGGATTTAGAAAAGGTACAGAGAAGGGTAACCAAAATGATTAGGGGTATAGAACACCTTCTGTATGAGGAGAGATTAAAAAGACTGAGACTTTTCAGCTTGGAAAAGAGATGACTAAGGGGGGGAGGATATGATGAAGATCTATAAAATCATGAATGGTGTGGAAAAATTGAATAAGGAAATGTTATTTACTTGTTCACAAAACACAAGAACTAGGGGTCACCCAATGAAATGAATAGGCAGCAGATTTAAAACAAACAAAATCAAAAAGTATTTCTTCACAGTCAACCTGGGGATGTTGTGAAGGCCAAAACTATAACAGGGTTCTAATACGAACCAGATAAATTCATGGAGGATAGGTCCAGCAATAGCTATTAGCCAGGTTGGGCAGGGATCCAACACCATGTTCTGCATGTCCCTTGCCACTGTTTGCCAGAAGCTAGGAGTGGGCAACAGCGCAACTTCATGATTGCCTGTTCTGCTCATTCCCTCTGAAGCACCTGGCATTGGCCACCACTGGAAGACAGGATACTGGGCTAGATGGAGCATTGGTGTTACCCAATATGGACATTCTGATGTTACATAAAACCCACTCCCAGAGTGGAGCTAGAACCGAGGAGTCCTGACAGAGTCTCTCTCTCTGCACAGAGTTAGTTACAAAGTAAGAATCCACATGAACATTTTAACCTAACCAGTATCCCTTAATGACAGGTTTCAGAGAAGCAGCCGTGTTAGTCTGTATCCACAAAAAGAACAGGAGGACTTGTGGCACTTTAGAGACTAACAAATTTATTAGAGCATAAGCTTTCGTGAGCTACAGGAATGCATCCGATGAAGTGAGCTCTAGCTCACAAAAGCTTATGCTCAAATAAATGTGTTAGACTCTAAGGTGCCACAAGTCCTCCTGTTCTTTTTGCAGTATCCCTTAAGTGTCTTGTCACAAGATGTCAGCACATGTTGCTATTAGAACTGAGCGGTTCTAATATTTATTTAATTTGCTTTCTTTTATAAAGGCATTAGATACAGGGCTGCTGTCAGCCAATTGCTAAGTTGTCTGCCAATAAACTTACAGTTTTAAAGTGCCTAAGTAGCCACAGGAACCACAGTTAAAGTTGCCCCCCAATCTGAAAGGACGCCCCTGACCACAGGCAGCCCTGGATGAGGCCGAGCACGGGGAAGGGGGCAAGGCAGTGGCTTCGGCCAGGGCAGCAGGAGGCCCAGGCCCTGCCCCAGAGAGCCCTGCAGCGCCTGAACCCACCAGTGCTGGAAGACCTGGCGCGCGCAAGGCTGGCCTGGAATGTTCACTATCTCCCCGCCCCCCCAATTGGCCACGCCTATCCCTCGGACCAGTAGCCTCACCCCTGAGCAAAGGCAAGGGAGCCGTCCGCGCCCTTTCAACTGCGTCTCGCTCAAGGTGCTGTGAGCCCGGGAGGGGGGAGGCCTCGCCCCCATGGAGAGGCCGGCCCGGCTGATTGGCGCTTGGTCCCGTCACTCTCGGCCCCGGAGGGGTGCCGCTCCCGCTGATTGGGCCGTGGCTCGGCCGTGACCCTGGGCGTTCGGCGGAGAGCGAGCCGCACGCACTCAGCGCGGAGAAGCCATGGCGGCGGCGGCTCGGTGCGTGCGGCTGCTGTTGAGACCGCGGCGCTACCCGCTGCTGAGCTGCCTGCTGCGGTAAGGGCGGCGCGGGCCCTCCCCTCCCACCCCTAGGGGGCCGCGGAGGCGGCTGGGGCCTTGCAGCGCCTGAGGCCGGCCCCTGCGGCCCGCGCCCGGGGCGGAATGAGCCCTGCGGCCCGGCCGGGTCCGGCCCCGTGAGCGCGCAGAGGGGCTGACGGGAGGGACCGCGCAGACCTTGCGCTGGCTGCGGCCCAGCTCCCTGCAGGCCGACACCGCCCCTTCCCCAAACTGCCGCTGGGCCTCGCCTGTGGCGGCGGGTAGGAGGGTGACCCGCTGGCCCACCTTCGTGCCGGGGCGGGCGGCTTCCCCGGTCCCGCTTGGGGAGCCCACCGCCTGTTGGCCGGCCTCCATGCCCGGGTCTTCGCCGAGCTCACCCGGGTTAGCCAAGCTTAGCTGCTGTCCGGGGGCCTGTGTTTTATAGGCAAGGCCCTAGGGAAGCCCCGCCCACCGCAGGGTCTCTGCCCTCTGTCACCACCTGCCCCTCGCCGGGGCTCTTACCATGCCCGAGGAGGCTCCAGAGTGCCCCAGCTGGGGAATGAACGTGGGTGACTTTCTCTCCTGGCCCAAGTGGGGGAGTCAAGATTCCTGCACCTTGCCCCGCACACCCACCCTGGAGAGCAGCAGAAAAAGGGGCAAAGGCAGGGCCCTACAGAGATTGGGAGTCACTCATTGACTCAAGGGGAGACAAGGTTGGCAGTTTGCTTCAGGGGATGGAGTTGTGCAGCTCTGTGTGGCATTTCTCCTTGCCATCAAGAGAAAAATGTCCTTGCTGTGTCTCATCCTTCGCTTCCCCCCCCCCCCCCCCCCCAGAGCAGGAGAGAGGGTTCAAGCTTGACCTGCTTGTTGTGAGGGAGGCAGCCCATGTGAGGGAATCAGTGGCTCACTGATGAGAAGCAACACACAGGGAGCTGCACAAAACTCTGTAGCTCTGGTGGCTGCACTTTTCATTCGCACCATAGAGGCTGCAAGATTGTGTGTAATAAGATGCCTGATCTCCAACTCAGCGGCATTTTAAATGCTGCAATAGAAATCCTAGCCGTTGCCAAATTTTATGTGAGTTGTGTAACAGCAGGGAGAAATCCCCTGTGAAAGCAAATTAACAGTAGCCAAAATTCAGTCTGCTGCTATACTGTCCTGTCATGTCATTACTGCATGTCATGTTTCATAGCTCATGCAGTTTGGATGCATTTCTGTTGAAGGATTTAATGATCAGGTAGACAAGGCAAGTGGGTGGGAGCTAGTAGTTACTGTCATTCAGCAATGGGTGTCTTGGATAAAGGTGCTTTATTTCTTAAGAGATCACAGGTTGGAGTGAAGAGACTCTTGGGCAACTTTCAAACTCATTCAAGTTAATCAGCTGAAGCCGTATTTATTAAGGCAGCTAAATAAATATGGCAGTGCCTACCTGTGTGTAGGCTTATAGGTTTTAAGTTGTTGATTTTGATGCATAGTAAGAGGGAGGTGTTCTAAGCATATGGTACTTTGTGAAGAAAGGCCTAGAGTCACTTGTAGGAGCACAGGCAAAGATACGTGAGGGAAAGAGGATTGTCCTCATTTGCTATCTTATTTCTGAACTTGCCACCCCAACACATGCGCCTCTCGTTCATGGAAAAATGGGCACAAAATCATCCTAAAGCAGCGATTCTCAAACTGGGGGGTGGGGGCCAGTGGCACATAAAATGTATTCAAGGGGGAGGGGCATGACAAGCTTTTAGGACCAAAAAAACTTACTATGCACATTTTACCCACAGCAATGAATAGCTAGCAAAGCTCAGATGGCACTGTGCATTTTGATGGATTTCTGTTAAGCTTGCATAGCATTATGCCAAGTTGTTAATCCATTTGCTACGACATGGTGTGCAGCGTCGACCACAATCGCAGTTTTGCTTTTGCTTTTATTACAATGGATTGTTGGCTCATTTGTGCAATTCATGGAATTACTCTGCTCCAAAAAACAGGCATACCTATCATGCTAGTAACAGTGTGATGTCTGTAAGCAACATTTTACTTAAATGGCTCTGTTCGAATCAAGTAATGTAAATTTTCAGTATAAATGCCTTACTGTTTTTAATATTTAGTGAGAGTTGCATGTTGATTTCTTTTTATCGGTATATGTACTTGTATGGTGGGGTGGGAGGGTGTAAACTGCTATAGACACAAAGAAGGGGAGCACGGTTAAATAAGTTTGATAACTACTGTCCTAAAGAATAGATATTTTAAATTAAATGAATCACTAAGAAATGTCAGATACATATGATTACGCAAACACCTCATTTTTACTCCATGTTTTAACCCATTTCTGCTGATGCCAAAGAATCAGTTGTGTAATAATTAGAATTCTTCTGCTGATTCTGAGTTACTCACAATACTTGAATTTTTGGATTAGCTATTTACAAATGAGGTGGCAGTTGTTTTCTGGATTTTTCACCAGCAGGTAGTTATTCCAATTCCTTTGTTTTAGAGGAGGTTTAGTGACTGAAGCGTTGAAAATGATTGCATCATGAGACTTCAGCCTTAAATGTAAATTAATCAGGACATTAGGTAACTAAATTGTTGTGGATTTGTTTCCTACTTATATACCCAATGAAAAGGAAGTGGCCTTCATTTTTTCCTCAACCATCTTTCCCTAGTAAACTTAAGAAATCTTTATTTGAAATAATTAAAATGTGCTTGCCTGTATTGCCTGCTAGTGGTGGCTGTCTTGTTGCAGAATGACACCTGCAACTGTACAGGAGCACCTGAATCCAGCTAATCAATAAGAGTTCCATCATGCTTGAACACTAGAGAACAATAAATTGGTGTGACTAAAGACTTGAGGCTTCAGCACACCTTTCAGGCCAGATTTGATTCTAACCGGTGTTCCTAAATGTGTTGTCAGATAAGTTTTTATTGAAAACATGTCAGGCCTCATAATTGCAGAAAATTTGGGGCAAAAAAGCTAGTGAGCAGTCACCTCTCTTTAAACGGGGAAGGCAAATACTACCTCCATTATGGCAAGGGTGTAACTTCAAGCTTTCTGTGCACGCTTCCAAGATATTTTCCCCCAAGATAGTTTGATTAGGAGCCGGGGTGCAGGTAGATGGAACAGTGATTAGACCAACTTGTAGGGTTTTTCTAATTTTGGGCTGTCAAGACTGCAGAGATTATTGTGGACACCATTCCATATCACATTGGATACTGAGTTACAGTTAGCAAGGAACTATAGAGTAAGGCCACGGTCTTGCAAATCTTATGCACTGTGGGACAACTCACAGTTAAGCATGTGCACATGGGTTGCAGGACTGTAGCCTTCATTTCTTTACAAATCATTTTTCTGGCTTTAGGATGGAGGTTTCTTTTGTATGAGATCAAGGCAAATCAGGTATTCAGTATGTTCAAAACCCGCTAATCTTTCCTAGGATGAGCAGCTGACTAATGCTCTGACTGTGTTTGCTTTAGGACTTCTCCACGGTTGCTTTGCATAGCAACACAACAGAAAAGCACTGGACAGAACTTGGAAGATTACCAGAGCCAGAATGAACCGAAGGCTGAAGCAAGCTCTGCTGAGAAGATATTCATTGAAGAAAAAGCCAAATTGGAAGAGCAACTAAAAGAAATGACTGTAAGGGTCTTTTGGTCAGCCAGCATGCACACATTCTAGGAAAAGTGTGACGTTCCAGGTGCACTGTACACAAGCTGGATAAGACTATGTAGCAGTTATTTCATGAATTAAATATTATAGATTTGAATAATCCTAAGTGGACGCTTCCTTTTAAGTTTAGTTCATTAGTAGTACATAGTCGTTTTGCTGTGAACAGACTGCTAATATGCTCTCTGGCCTTGGTTTTCAATCTAGAAAAATGTGGGTGATAATACTCATCACTGAGGCCTGGGAACATAAGCTTTGTTTACTCACATATTTTTCTCCTTAGCCTCTTTCTCTTCTAGTAATCCTGGAAGAGTTAGCCTTTTTATCCGGTATAGAACTAAATCTGAGTTTAGTGGTTATATTGATAACAATAGCAGTGGCATGAGCAAGGCATAACATATGAATACGCTCTGCAGAATTCCCCAAATTCTGCCAACCCACTTTTTCCCCAGCCTGCAAAGGCAAAACCTACTGTTTTGCTTCTTGGCATCTCTCTCTAGCAGGCACTTCCAGTGGTGCCAAACTGCATAATGTCTTTGTGACCCAACTGAGACCAAATTAATTTGTGCTTATAAGTCCTAAGACCTGAAGCCCTTTCCTTTATTTTCAGCCTTCTGGGCCTGCATGCTCATTCTTTCTTCCTGGAAGTGCGCTCAAAGGCTTATCTTTCTCACCAACAGAAGTTGGTTCAATAAAAGATATTACCTCACCCACCTTGTCTCTCCCTTAGTTAAGAACCATGAGCAGACAGGTTTTGGAAGGTAAGGCTGAGCAAACTTGTGGCCCCTGCAATCTGAAGATGTTGGCTACTATGATGAAAGAACTAGTATATGGTGACTCCGGCATGTGATAAATTTGCATTCATGGGCTAAATTGTGTTGTTCCGTCCTCAGCTGGTAGAGAGCAGAGGTGCCAGGAAGGAGAGGTACAGAAGTGTCCTATTCCCTTGTAGTGTGGGGTTCAGAATGTTTAATGGGTGAGAATAGGAGGTCTGGGAGGATGTGGGGACAGTTCAGCAACCAGTAGCTAAGTAAGACTATTTTGCTCTGCTGATAACAAATGGATTGACGCAAAAATAAAAAGACAACACCATGCCATGGTTGTGGCATAATGAGTCAGTGCAGAGGTATCCCATGTGATGTACTAAGTCTTGTCTGGAATGTACAAGGGATTAGGAGAGGCAAACTTTTTGACATTCCAGTACTTCACAGCTCTAGTTAAGAATAAAAAAAACACCCCACATTGAGGCCCAGATCCACAAAGGTATTTAGGTTCCTCCCTTCCATTGATTTTGATGGACGTTAGGAGCCTAAATACCTTGTTGGATCTGGGCCGGAGAGCCTGGAAGCACATCTTTTCCTCCTGTGCCATCCCCTTGTATCTCCTCCTTACCTCAAGTCACCTAAAAAAAACAAAATAAAAACCACTTGTGGGCAAGAGGGTGAACACAGAAGTACTGATTCTCTCTCTCCCTTGTTTTTCCACCTTCAAAATGAGGCTAATACATGCCTACATCACAAGGACATGAGGATTAGTCTTTGTACACTCATTTGAAGTGCTAGGTACAAATATTGTTTAGAATTTAGATGCAACTTTTAATAACAAACCACAGAGTCTAGCTTGTTAAACTGCTGCTTTGTAATGAAATTAATAGAACAAGAGCTTTGGTTTGAATTATTGGCATGCAATATACGGGCTGTAATGGGATCTTTTCTGCAATATGCTTTATCTTCTTCCTCAGGACAAGTACAAGCGAGCCCTGGCAGATACAGAAAACTTAAGGCAAAGAAGCCAGAAATTGGTAGAAGAGGCAAAGTTGTATGGTGGGTGGAGACTTTACTTGTGTGCACATGTTGTATTGTAAGGTGATGAAACACTAACTTGAAAAACGAAGCTTGCAAATTCAGAGCAGACACTGCTACTCACCCACAACTCCCACCATTTGGAACTCCCAGATATATTGGCATGTCCTTGTTATAACGTGTTGCTGAGAGCCTGAAATGTTACTGTCCTGATTTAAATTTAAAGTGATTTGAGATGCTTCAGTGTCATTACGATTTCAGTGGAGGGGTGTAAAACTGTGTGAGTTTTAGAAGCATTAGATTTAGATGTATCTTGATACCTCAAAAAACTCTGGATTGCTTGGTGTCTGCAAAATTTTCCAGAAACTAGTAAGTAAATATGAGCCATAATGTACACTGGCCCTTGTACACTGACATGATGTATAATCTTCTTGAGTGGATCGTCATTTGTTCGATTTATTACATGTGGCAATATTATACCAGTTTCACGAGGAAAGTATTTATTATACTGCGTTGACGTGTTACTGCTTTTACTAGGAAAGTTTTTTAGCTGTTTAATACCTAGGGGCAACATAGTCCACATTTGAATTTAACTGCTTGTGAGCTTTCATTGTAGAAAGTGAGGGAGCCAAACCCAATCCATATAGGATGGTGAAGTCTCAGGGCAAATTGTAGCCTGAATTCTCTTCCTTTTCCCAGGTCTGCTCTTCCCTCCCCCCCATTCAACCTTAAATTTGAGTGCAAGAGATCTGAAACCAGAAGTATTCAACTACTTGCTTTCTTAATACTTTTTTGAAAGCCTTTTGAAATTTAAATAGATTTTTGTCGTAAGTCTGAATACCAAAACTCATGAATGCTTAACGTTAACTTAAGTAAAAGCTAGATTTTTCAGAGGGCCGAGCACATGCCACTACCACTAACTTCAAGGAAATGCTAATTATGCTCAAGTGTCATGTTTGACAGTTCTGACTAAAGCATATTTTAATAGCTCTTTTTATCCTCTGAAAACAAATGTGCAAAATAGAAATGGTATTGTTTTGTAAATATTGCTGGAGCAAAAGATAGCACTCTGGCCCAGATCCACAAAGGGTCTTAGGCCTGGTCTACACTTAAAGCTTATAGTGACATAATTATGTTGGTCGGGGTATGGAAAAAACTGTTTCTTGCCAGAACTGTGGCAGTACCCACCTAACTCCATACATACTGGCTATGGGATGCTTACCTTATAACCTTTAGCACAGTGGTTAGGGAACTCACCTTGGATGTGGTAGACCCTGGTTATTTTCCCCCTCTGCCTGAAGAGGAGAGAGGATTTGAACATGGGCATTTCCCACTTCTCAGGAGAGTACCTAACCACTGGACTGTAGTGGGAGTCTTACTTTATCTGGCCACTGCAAATACACAAAATCGAGTGGCTTCAAGATGAGAGATTGAGACCCCTATGTCAGAATATCCCATAGTCCTGTAACCAGGGCATTGACTTGTGAGGTAGGAAACCCCTGTTCAAATCTCTTGCCCTCAGGCAGAGTTGAACTGAGATCTCCTGCTTACCAGGTAAATGCTCTAACCACTGAGCTAAAGGTCCCTCTGCCACCACTACCTGCCCCCAACAATTTTGTGTTGAGTAAGGCAGGCTTAGCACATGCCCACCAGATTGGGCCCCATGGGCAAGATAGCCATTGCCCTACCTATCTTCACCTGGTTTGAAGATTGCATTAGGGCTTAGGCATGAGGTAAGCATCTGGGCTGTTGCCTGAGGCAGCAGGGTGCGGACCCAGAGGTAGAAACTTAAGCATTTTGGAGACACTTACAGAGTAAATTTAGGTGTTTAGTTTAGACACCTACAGAGTTAGGAGGCAGCCAAGCAGAGGTTTTGTGGATTTCGATGGTGCCTAAATCTGGGTTTTAGGCTCCTTTGTGGATCTGGGCTTATATACTGTGAATCCATAACCATTTCATCTTCTTTCCTGACCTGCAGTTGACAAAGTGTAGCAATATGAATGGTTACATGTTAACATTAGTTTAAATCCACAGTTAAAGCTTAAAAACAGGATAGCTAATTAACTAAAGAGTAAAAAGAAGCAGACTTCAGTTCAACAACATTCTGGACTCTTGTACAATTTTGATGAACATTTGAATACTTTAATTTGAAATTCACTCCTCACAAGCATTCATGCTAGTATGGTGCCTAACACAGTGGGGTTCTGATCCATGATTGGGCCCCTAGATGCTACAGCAGTACAAAAGACTCAATAAACCTTGAGTGAAAGCAAAATTTCAGATTGTATGTATGATTGTAAAATTGTCCATTTGCACTTGGCTAATTATTTCATTGAGGGAACAGAAGCTCTATGCTGAGATTTATTCAGATATCACAAAAGCGCAAAGTGCAACTACTTGTAAACTGCAAAGTCTTACTAGAAGAAGCTTGTCAATTTCAAATCTGAGACCTCTGCTGTAAGCAGCAGAAGGGCAAAGCAAATGAGAGAAATGCAGTCTAGATGAAATTACTGTAAGGGGGGCACACAAGTGGTTGAAAGACTGTACTTGAAAGGTAGTTATCCATGGTTTGCTATCAAACTGGGATGGCATATCTAGTGGGGTCCCACAGGAGTTAGTCCAGGGTCTGGTATTACTCAATAGTTTTCATTAATGACTTGATAATGGAGTGGAGTGTGTGGTTACAAAACTTGTGGATGACACCAAGTTGGGAGGGGTTCCAAGCATTTTAGAGGACAGGATTAGAATTCAAAGTGACACTGACAAATTGGAGAATTGGTCTGAGTTTAATAAAATAAAATTCAATAAAGATAAGTGCAAAGTACTACACTTAGGAAAGAAAAATCAAACGCACAACTACAAAATAGGAAACAACTGGGTAGATGGGAATTATACTGGATCACAAACTGAATATGAGTCAACAATGTGATGCAGTTGTGAAAGGCTAATATTCTGAGATGTATTAATAGGAGTGTTGTATGTAAAACGCGGGAGATAGTTGTCCCACTCTACTTTGCACTGGTGAAGCCTCAGCTGGAGTATTGTCTCCAATTCTGGGCATCACACTTTAGGAAAGATGTGGATAAATTGGAGAGAGTCCCAAGGAGAGCAACAAAAGTGAAAAAAGATTTAGGAAACCGAACCTATGAGGAAAAGTTAAAAAATGTGGGCATGTTTAGTCTTGAAAAAAGAAAACTGAGGGCGGACCTGATATCAGTCTCCAAATACGTTAAAGGCTGTTATGAAGAGGATGATGATAAATTGTTCTCCATATCCACTTCAGATAGGACAAGAATAGCCTTAATCTTCGGCAAGGGAAGATTTAGGTTAGATATAGGAAACATTCTCTAACTCAGAGTAGAGTTAAGCTCCGGAATAAGCTTTCAAGGGAGATTGTGAATGGAGGTTTTTAAGAACCAATTGGACAAACACCTTTAAGGGATTGTCTAGGTTTAGTTGGTCCTGCCTCAGTGCAGGCTGGACTTGATGGCTTCTTGAGGTCCCTTTTAGCCCTACATGTCTATGATTCTATGAAAGTTAACAAGTTTTCACTGTGCTCTGGTCCTTAAACCATTTGTATACTCTGTGGTTTGGCCATTTTATCCAAAAAATTAATTTGGGGCTTTCAGTGTTTAAGGTAGCTATACTTGAAGTTTTGGTTAGTTGTTAGGTTTAAAATCGTTTGCTTAGCATTTGACAATCCCATATCCATTATCAGTGTCTAAAGACACCCGTATCGAACTATGCAGATATTAAAGTGACTGCATGGCCTTGCTGGTAAAGTCTGCATTGTTTTGCAAAGGTTCTAGGCCTGCATAGAGGAAGGAATCAACTGGACTTGGAATCGACTTGGAAAGTTCCCCTGAGCAGTCAGGGTCCCTATAGAGCTCTTGCATGGATACTGTTAGCTCAGCACCCTACTTCAGTTTTAGCTGATGTACATAACTTTGTCTCTTGTTAGTACCCAAAAAAAGCTTTGGTGAAGGAGGGAATATCTAAATGCATTAAGTGGCAGCCACATAGGCCAGTCTCACCCGGTTCTCTTCAAGAACTTATTCACACCTAATCCTGGTGTCCTGGCTACATCAATTCCCCTGGTTATAAGCTAGGCTTTAGTATTCTCAACTTGATTTTGTCCATAATGCAGCATCTCATTGGCTCACCTTTATGTGAAAGTACATCACTCCTCCTGAAAAATCTCCCCCACTCCCCTTGACCACTTTTCTGGAGATGGCCCTACAGCTGGCAAGATGAAGTTAAGAACTGATCACGACAATAGCTAGCCAGCAAGGAGCTTCTGGGGACACAGCCATTGTGCTGTAGCTCTTGGAGTTATTGCATTAAAAAGTGGGGTGAACTGGAAGAGCTTTATGGGCCTTAGCTAAAAAATCCCCTGTGGAAACTAGCCAGTGGAGTTTTGGGCAGAAGGTGTGGCTTCAGAACCCACCTCTTTAAATGGCACATGGGGGAAAGAGGGAGGAGTTCTGCTGAATGAGATCTTCAACTCTGTCCCAGTTCAGGTCAGTTAGGCTACTGGTTGAGCAAGGGCCTGCTTCGTCTCCCTTTTTTCCCATTCAGTGCTATTAAGAGCAGCTTTAACAGCTCAAGTGAAGATGCAGATGTGGGACAACAATGTGAGAGATTGGACAAAACGGGTGACACCAGAAAAATCCCAGGATGGGAGAGGGGAAAAAAGTAAATTACTTAACTTGAGGGTGGCGATTGTGTTTGTGTCTGTTGGCTAATTTAATAATAATTGGACTACTTGCTGAGGGAGTCAGATACTTTCCCTACTCCAGAATCAAACAGTCCACTTCTGTATTCTGTATTTTTGTATTATTATTATTATTGGGTTGGTATCCTCCAGGAACTCAGAAATATAACTCCCTTGATAAGATGTGTTCGAAAAAAAGAGCATAAGTTAAATTGATTTAGCATCAGTTTGAAATCTAGTCATAATTTTAAGTGAGTCAAGTAGTTTTATTTACTACACCTGCCCATTAGTCCACCTGTGACTTTTTGGTTTTATAATTGCATTTTCCTGTTTTAAAAACTCTCTCTCCCACTGCTGTATGACAAAATCTACACAAACAAGAGATGTGGACGCTGCACAAACTGCATAAATGCACAAACTAAAAGGGGGTGTGTGAGGGATAGTAACTTTCCCCCATCTCAGATAATTGTAACAATACTAGGTTTTTTAATGTAAATTTAACTATATCCCCTTAAGAAGAATTAATCTGATTTTGTTTTTGACTTACGGCTGTCCATCTTGTTATAGGGATTCAGAGCTTCTGCAAGGACTTATTAGAAGTTGCTGACGTTTTGGAAAAAGCAACTGAGAGTGTTCCAAAAGAGGAACTCAAGGATGAAAACCCTCATCTGAAGAACCTGTATGATGGTCTTGTCATGACAGAAGTACAGATTCAAAAAGTATTCAAGAAGCATGGCCTGCTCAAACTGAATCCTGTTGGAGCCAAGTTTGATCCCTATGAACATGAAGCTTTGTTCCATGCTCCCATGGAAGGGAAGGAGCCTGGTTCTATTGCATTAGTATCCAAGGTCGGCTATAAGCTGCATGGGCGTACGTTGAGGCCTGCCTTGGTGGGAGTTGTGAAAGAAGTTTAGTGGCCCAATTCATAAGAATTAAAAATGCCATACAACTATTAGATGGCTGACTAGTTTTCCTCTTCCAATGTGCTTTTTTTTTTTTCCATTTCCACAGAGTGTCTAGAAGGTTTAAATTAATCCGTGAAACTGAAGCAAATGCTGAAATTTCATTTCTTAATGGACCATAAATAATCTGATGGACCTCAGTTTACAATTTTTTGTATTGTATTTTGCACTTTAGAAGCAGAGCTGACGAGCCATAAAATGTTATCCAAAATACAGATGGTTTAATCTGTAATAATCCTGGCTACTGAAGGTATGTTAAGTTGAAAAAAACAAAATATATCTACAGGAAACTGCATGGTAACAGCTTGATCACTGTTTAGAATGAAGAACCCTTTGACTTCGTGTGTCCTTTTGTGTTCATTTCCTAATATCGCAGTAGTGTCTGTGAAGCAATTCATGTAATTAGCTGTCTGCAAATGCCCACACAAGCTTTCACAGAGCAGACACACTTATGAGCTGCTTGCCCACTTGGTGGATTGCTGTTTCTATGACATGTCCATTTCCTGGAATAGGGTCTTTCTTTGAACAGCAAAAGTTTCAACACCTTTGTGATTCCAGATCTGGGTTTGAGGTTGTAAATAAAATACAGGGTAGGGGAGGGGATTGGCTTCATTGCTTTTATTCATATGCTTCAAAATCTCTTCTCAAGGAAACCATTTAATATTTGTATGGCATTGAAATAGCTATAGAAAAAAAAAACCTGTCCAATCTCTGGATTTTTGAAATACAATCACTTTGCTATGCAAATTTTATTTGCAACTATATTAAAGGTCACAATAGTAACCACCAGAAAAGTTATGTATATAAAAGTGGTTTTGGCATCTGTTACCGTTTTATAATTCATGTAGATGTATAAATACCTGATGAGTTAAAAGTAACTGGATCAAACAATATAAATGAACTCTACTTCATTTACATTCCTTAATAAGATGCTTTCCTGTTTGTTGGTTTATATTTTAGCCTTGACTACACTAGCTGGGAAGCAGCATCACCTTATGAACAGAGTAATGGTTATGCTGGGCATTTACTTTAATCCTGTTCCTATGTTAACCTCAGACAGGAGTGGCTAGAGCCAGGCCTACCCTTCTTCCCCCTGTTGTAAAACATCCTCCCTCTACTTCATCACATCCCACCCATTGGACATGGAGGGTGTGATTTTCACATGCACTCAACATGGGCCTAACTGTTGCCACTGGAGTCTTGAGTAAAACCCTCAGTGACTTCAGTGGGAGCAGTTAAGCTAAAGCGGAGCACTCTGAAAAATTCCACCCCCAAATTTTGGGTTTTGATTTGTGGTAGAGGAGTGTGTTACCTTAAACCTGGGAGTCAGCTGTGAGGAATTCTTATCTATAGTTACTGGGTGCCTGTATATGTGTATTCTCTGAACCCACTCTGTGTAGCAGTGGGAGGAGAGGGAGAGTGACTGGTTTTTAAAACTCCTGACACACCCCTAGTGGATTATGTGACCGCACCATGCCAGCTGATTTGTAATAGCAGAAGGGCTAGTTTGTTCCCTTTAAACTGGTCTCGGTTCAGGCAAAAAAATGTGAATATAACATAGGACTGCAGCAACTTATTTAGTTTCTAATCTGGCAAATTAGAAAGCAAAACAAACACTTCTTTGATTTTTTTTTTTTTTTTTTTAGGGGGAGGGAGTCTTCCATCTCTCTCTCAATATATAGATCTATATATAGTGAAAGATTTTATCACTGTTGTCTTGGCCAACAGCTGCTGATTTCATACTAACTGCTCACTGAATAAATCATCAGGTATTTGTACGTTAGCCCATGGTGTCGTCATCCTCAAAGTAACAGCTGTGTTAGTCTGTATTCGCAAAAAGAAACGGAGTACATATGCTCAAATAAATTGGTTAGTCTCTAAGGTGCCACAAGTACTCCTTTTCTTTTCATCCTCAAAGTTATTCTACAACTTAATAAATAACATTGTGGAGAATACAATGATGGCAAAACCCAAATCTGGCTGCATTAATTTAAACCATGTTGGTGCCATAAGTTTTGTAACACCTGAATAAGAAAGCAATTAGCAAAGTACTTTGTGCTCTGATATACTTTGTATCAATGCATAGCTGTAGCTGTCACCCTACTGGTTTTGTGACTTTTACAGCAGCAGTTGAAGTGGAAAGGGAAGAAAAAGTGGTAGGGCTTTGTTGTACCCACAAAATAGGTTCTGCCCATGTCTGTGAGAAATCTCTCATTTTGCTAACAGTAGGTGATCACAATTAGACTCCTTCAGCACACATGGTCATGACTGTTGCTCCTTTAGGGTTTGAGTGCCTTAGTTGTGTGTCTCTATGAGGCCTGAGAGGTGTTTTGATGCTGGTTACAGCCTCTTGCTTTTGTTAAGCAACTGTTTGGACATATCACATTAGCACTAACAAGGGTGATTGCTGCAGTATGGATTGTTTTGGATTAACTGATCTGGACTGAAGAGCACTATATTTGTAACATCAGAATTGTCCTCTGAGATATCAAGGGGGCAGAGTAAAAGTGAAACATCTAGAGGCAGCTTTTTACTGCTTTCCACCTGATTACTGAGCAGTGGCTTACTTGGGTAATGTTACTCTAGTTACAAATATAGCAGCTTAATATACAGTTTAACCAAAAACAAGTTTGCTGTTGAAAGAGCTGAAAATTTCTTCTGTTCAAAAGGGGGAGAGAGCAATTAGTGTGACACTAATTGTTTCAGTTGCTTTTCCCACTTGGGAACAGGCTAGACCTTGCTAACAAAAAGAACAAGGTGAACTGATTCATACAGTGTGCATATAGCCCACCTAAAGGGCTCAAAACAGAGACCTATGCACAAATCCATAAGCAGGAAACTGGATTTGTTTTAATTGAGGCAGTATTGACCACTTTTAGGGGGTCTGTGTCCATTGTCTTCTTTCCTATGTGAGAGTCTGTACACCAGTGACTGAGTGACCAGCTGTATACCAAGAACCAGAGCATGCAGGAGGAGCTGGAGGAATAGGCTCACCTACAACCTCTTTCCCTTCCTCTCCACAATCTAATATTAAAGAAAAGGGCAGGGGAAAAGAGTAAGATGAGTAGCAGGAAGTACAGCAGGTGAGGTTGAGGAAGGAGACAGGAGAAGCAGCCCACAGTCGTCAGACCAGTAGCAGAAAGCTGACAGTGGCTCTTTTTGTGGCACCCATACTGAGTGCTCAGTCCATGGCATAAGACAGAAAAAGGTACTTCAATAGTGTACTCCTGTATGATTACTGCAGTTTCACACTAGCCCTCTCCTGCGTAAGAGGAGTTATTTGCCAGCTTTAACTTTTTGGAGTGATGCAGTTAAAAGCTACTACAACCTGCTTTTGTTTCTCCAGCTTTCTTCCTCTTCCCCCTCCCACCTGCCTTTCTGTAAAATACAGGCTCCATCACTAACAGTAATGAAAAAGACTTTATTAATGTAAAAACAACTGTTATAGATATACAATGGGAAGAAATCTGTTAAAATGTGTATGGGCACAATGACCCCATTAGTTAGATTTTCATGATCGCAGCACACGCTATTGTAGGTATAGCACAGCTACACCAGAGCACACTTCAAAATGAATGCATTGGTTGGTTTTATTTAAAAAAAAACCTACTGAACTGAATACACTTAACAGGCAGCTGCTATCTTCCTTCTTTGCAGTATTATGTTACCATAGTTTAAGAGTAATTAGGGTACATGCAAAAGCATCTTGCAAGAACTTTATTAAAAAGAGATTGAGTGGCACACAGTACTGCTACACCAGCCCTCCAGAAGAAAAATGGTAAAGTGCTTCAGTTTAACTGAGGCCCAAGCCGTTCCTGCACCCTGATTCATGCAACTCCCCTAGAACCATTCTAGCACCTTGAACAGCTACAGAATACTCGGGAGGGTTTTCCTAATCCCAGCATACTCGTACAAGTCCTCCAGCAGCAAGAAGTGCTAAAGTCAAAGTTGATTAGTACACGTTTGTAAAGGGAGGGTGAATGTTTCATTGTTACAAAGAAAGCTGGTTGGGTAAGGCCTCAGTGGAACTTGGTTGATCACAGTAGACGTATAGTGTTATGCTAATGTATCCTAGCCCTACCTAAAGTAGAGAGTGTCACGGTGCTTCTAGCACAGGGTCAGTACTCTAAACACAAGCTTGACTGTCACAGTTTAAACTCATTTAAACTCTTAACAATACAGCTTATCTGTTCTATTTGAGGCATCCACGGAGTCAAAAATAGCATGTATGTTTAAAAACAGTTCCTCATGAATTAGCAACATGCAAGTTAGGATTAATTCAGCACAAAGGATATATGTATATACACTGATATGGTTTGGAAAGCTATTATGAAATATTACTCAGTCACCCTCCGTCCCAGAAAAGCGGTACAGTTTCAGTCAGTTACTGGATTAGGATAACTGCATGGCACAAGTAAAGAAAACTCATAACAAAAGGCAGGCTTAGGCTAAGAAATCAATTCCATATGAAAACACTGAACAGTATCCTCTAGTACAAGTCATCTCTAAATAAAAGGATAGCTGACAATGAGAAGCTCTTTCCAACAGATTAGCATTCAAAGGTAATAAACACTCTTGCATCATTGAATCTGCTTCCAGGATTGAAATAAGTATTGATATCCATGGTTTTCATACATTAAAAATACTTTATTTTACATTCATTCAGATCTTCAATAAGTTACATCTAGCACCAAAGTAACATTTTTGGACGGGCTGAGGAATTCAGAAACTACAAAGTGTAAATGCAGAAGAACTGATTTATGCAATATTTAGCTGAATCTTATGAGTGCCTAGAAGTCTGATTCTTTTAGTTATCCATCAGATGGGCTTCAGAATATTGCTTCAATTAAACCCACTTAAGAGTTGTGCCAGAGCACCTTAGAAGTATAAAAGTGATGTAGATTTAACAACTACTAAATGAAAAAGTTATTTATGCAGCTGAGGTTCCAGAATACTGAATGTATGGTGATAGTATGGCACCCAGATAACAGGGTTTACAAACTGAAAAGAAGAACCAACCACCTAATCCAGTACCATGCTTGAAAACAGACAGCTTGAGAACATCTTCCCCCTTTCCATGTAAGTAGAGCATGGAAACTTACCACAATTTGTAGTATCTGAACTTGTGCATGCACAAAAGGATACACATGACAGGTGGAGGTGGTTCTCATAGCTGTTGAGCACATTTCAGTCACTTATACTGCAAACAACAAAAAGTGGGACTGACAGTTTTGTTTTAAGTATTTTACAACAAGCCATTTACAGTTATGACAAAGCATTACACAGCTGGGGACATAGTCCTTGCCTTTCTGAAGAGACTTAAAATACCACAAGCTCAAAAGAAAAAGGCACCATAGATTCCCTTGGAAATGCTGGTTTTTGTACTAATACTCTTTTCTTATTAGGACTCACTTAACACTGTTTTGGTAATGCTGCATACATTGACAATTAAGAACACGCAGAATTCCATGTGTAGAATTCGCTCTGCAGCTTGAAAGAATATTACACGGTTTGGTGATTACTTCTCTGTCCACTGCATGAAATATCAAAACAAGTGTTAAGACATTCTGAATACACAATTTTTTTCTCCTAGTTGTCTTAATAAATCTTCAAGTCCCAATTTTCAGAGTGCCTGCATTCCAAACGCATCAAGTTATCTTACTGTTAAAGACCTTTCCAAATAGGGAAGCTCAAAGGAAGGGAAGCCAGCAAGAACACAGGAAACAAGGAATTAAACAGAAAACCCAGAAAACCCTTACATAGCACATAGTTCCCTGGATTTTGCAAGAATGTCAGCTATAACCTATTCCCCCCCCCCCCAATTTGCTACATTCAGGTAGGGTACTGGTACCAATAAATATTCTGCTTTAGTTCTTCAGATTCCTTCCCTGCTTTAATTAAAAATCTGATACATAGGATCAACGTTTTATTGATCAGATACTTCTTTTGTATACTCGAGTTAGGGAGAGAAACTGGTGCTTGTTGCAAGCACCAAACTCTGACTGTAGACCTTTTAAAAGCAAAAGAACCACCCCGACCTTTCCCCCCAAAGCTACCTATGAGGTTGGTATGTCACATTTTCAGTGAAATATCACATGATTTGTACTGAAGTAGACCAAGAAGCAAATTAAGATTTTTTGCTACCGTTTGCAATAAATTTGTCTCAATGTATTTTAAGCAAAATATGTGCAACAGGCAACATGTAATGGTTTGATTTAGTTTCATATTTTTAATGAGCAAGGAACTTTAGCTGCAAGTCTGAAGTAGCTCCCATGTTTTTACAACGTCAGGGGTTTGTACATCAGTATTACATGAAAATGTACAGACAACTGACCAGATTCAGAAGAACATTACACTTCCCTGGACCAGTTAAGTCCCCTGTGCCCAGAATAGGGGCAGGGAACTTTGTTGCTACTGAATTATCTGTCTACCACAGGAGTTTCCTAAAGGGTCTATGCCAGCACAGATCCTGGAGTAATCTGCCTAAGAAGCAATTCAGTGTGAAAATAAGTCTAAGAATCTGCTCCATGAGGGAAGTGACTGGAAGCAACTTATCCACCATATTCCATGTCCTTGTCCCATTCTATTAACTCACCTCCTCTTGCATTTTCTGTATGTGCTCACATCACTCTACCATAATACAGGTCCTTGTTACTGAGTGAAGAGTGCTGGAAGCTAAGCTCTATTCACAAAAATGCTCACTTCAAGTGTTTTGTACTTCAAAGCTCAGGATTTTTGTAAGTTTCATTTGGCTACCAGCACCATGAAGAGAGTGATACAAGGCAGGCTCCACCAAATGAATGCTTCCATCTCCCACCCCAAAACAAGCAAGTGTTGCACTAATAACCCTTTTGTCGAACAGCAGAGAGTATAACAACTAGCCTTGGGCTACTGGATTTGAATAAATCAAAGTAAGAACATATCCATTCCAATAATGTTCCAAAAAAGATGAAATCTGATCCACCTCATCTGCAATGAATATTTAGCGGCAAATCCTTTATCTTAAAGTACTTAACTTTAAGATCACACAAGAAGTTACAGTTTGGTATTTTCCATGATCCAATGTAAGAGCGTCCTTTTGGACAGAGGATTGTAAATACTCATATTTTACAGGAAAAATCCTATCTTTGGGGAGGGAGCGAAAGTAACAGAGTCATTTGGCCCATGATGAGCCATTTATTCACATTGACTCAGCTTTCAAATCAGATCAGTTTCATGAAGCATCCCTAGATATCCAACCACTTTCTGTTAGGAAGTTTAAAATCCTTTTCTTTAGTACCTTGTCCAAATAACTGGGAAGGCGACTTTTTGAGGGAATACCTTGTCTTTTTTGGAGATGGTCTTTAATAATTATAGTTTTCACAGTCACATAACGTGCCGGACTCAGATTTAGAGAGCTACAGAGCACCTTTTCTCTGTCTGATAAGAGTTCAAAGCCAGGCAGATTCTCAATTGCAGCAAATTCCCCATCCTTACCATCTTCCTTTCCTCTCTTGGAACTGGCTATATTTTTATTCTCCTTCCTTTTCTCCCGTTTATGTCTAGCTGCCTCATATTCTGCCGACTCTTCCATTTTGGTGATTCCATTTCGACGGTACCGCTGCAGTTCTCGAATCTTTGCTCGAAGTATCCTCTCCTTGTGCATGTTCTCAAAGAAGTCTTCAAACTCCTTACAAGACATGAATTGATAGAGAGGCCTCAGTTTTAGCCTCAACTCCTTTTCTTCTTTTGTGATCTTCCGTTTTGGAGCTTTTTCCTTGTCCTTTTTATCCTTCCCAAGAAAGGCAGGTACCAGATTATAATCTCGTGCAATGTTTTTCCGCCGTTGCCTCTCCTTAAGTTTTCTTACATACATATCAACATGAGCTCTTTTTAATTCTATTTCCACATCATCATCATCATAGTTCACTGAAAGGCCACTGATGAGAGTCTCAGCATCTTGGTCATACTCAATCTCATAGTCATCTCGAAGTGGCATATACCCCAACTGCTGCTGTTCTGCCACTGATATGTCCAAAGGAGGGAGAGGTGTGGTCAGGCTAGGAGAAAGTGGGCCACCACTGGGACAAGTGTGATCTGTCACTCTGTTAGGGATAGTGTCAGGGATGCAGGCTTTTCCAAGGTTGCCATGGATATACATGCTTACATAGTGTTCCATCACTTCCTGGGGAGTTCGGGATGCTCCAACATGAGCAGCCATATCCTCCTAGGAGGAGAAAGTTAAGGAAATTAGTGATGGCTTGACTTATTAGCTCAGTTCTAAAAATACACCCAATTATTAGGGATAACCTCTCATGTTTTCCCCACACATCAACCTGAAATATGTTTTTCTAGCACTATTTAGGTCAACCACTCTAGTGTGCGTTCACTCTCTCTTCTTCGAGTCCAGTATAAAGTCCACCCCACCTATAATATTCCACCAAGACGTTTCCTCAATCTAGCTAGATTTCTAGAAGGTATACAGATGCCAATAGCACCTCGGTGACTAAGCTCTAAAACAGATGCTACTAATAGTATTCCATGAAGCTGACACTATGAGTATTACCCAGCAAGCTACATCAATTTCTCAGTGAATCCCAAGACACCACCAGGATCTACATGAGCACCCTCTGGAAGTGACATCCTCAGGGCCACTACCAAATATAGGCCTCCCATGTCTCAATATCAAGTGCACCTTGACAGTATTGTAGTGTCCCTGAAATCTAGCAAAAGGTAGAGTAATTCCACTGGTTGAATTTTATGTCAAAATTCTCTGGGGAACAAAAGTTAACACATTTCTTTGCAGAATATAAGAGGATCAAACAATCCTATTTATTCAAAAGCTTGCTTGGCACACCGTGTAGGAAAAATAAGTGGCAATCATTCAACTCATAAAAGTTGTTTCCGTGACTCAGGTCCTCCCTCCCAACAGAGTTTCATGCCCTCTTCACTCCAACATTTTACAGAAGGGGAACAAGATTACAACTCGAGACATTTAAACAAATGAGAGGCCTAAGTCTAGTACACTAGTCATGTGTGCATGTGGTTGTTCTTAATGCAGCTAAAATGTAGTTAAAACTGATCCCTCCATATCTAATTTTGCTCATTTGGAAGTGGAAGTTCAATATTTGGATCATATCTCCCCTCCCCCACCCCCCCCCCTTTTTTTTTTTTTTTTTTTTAAAACACAGTACACAGGTGAGAAAGACTAGTTCTTGCAGGTCTCCACAAGAGTAGTTTGTTAGGTAACAAAAAGCCACAGCCATCATAATAAGTAGTGTATTTAATAAGTAATAAGTAATAATTTAATAAGCTTAGGTTTTTATTAAGCAGTAAGAATTTCAAAAAGAAAAAAAAAAAAAGACTTGCCCTCATATTTATGAAAAAAAAATGGGATGCGGAGTAGGGCACTAAACAGTACGAGCTTGGAAGAGTTGAGGTATCTTGCTGTCTTTCTGAAGAAAAGTCTTTTTCAGACAATCATCACTATAAATGGTGATTGAGTCAGCTTCCTATGTTGTACTAAAACAAAGAAAATTTTGTTAGTGTAGATTAAAAAGGATGTGTGTGTGTGACCTGACAGTTGTGACATACTGGAGTGAAAAACTCACACAATGAAGACAGGTGTGATGAGAATAGGGAACAAAAGAGTAAACAGAGTCAAATCTGCAATGAAACAGGGATGGGAGGTTGTGTAAAAAGGGAAATCTTTGCTGTTCCTGTTTAGATGACAGATTCTGTTGTAAGTCTTTGGGGAAGCACTTCCTTAACTAGAATCCCCAATGCACATACTAAATTATTATGCAATCTGTGGGGTCCTTTGGTTTTTCCTCTTCATACACACACACAAAAAGCTACGGACTATGAAACAGGTACAGAAAAAAAAAAGAGCAGACTGTCAGACATAAAACTTGATTGATCCTTTCTGAAAGCCATGTTGCTGACGGCTCAATGTTAGATTAAAAACAAAAACAAAGCCCCATGGTTTCACAAAAAAGCTTTTATTAAAAAAGTATTCTTAATTTAGCTATTTAATAGAGCCTTTGACTTTAGACACTCAACTGCAGTGTTTGTATCTCAAATACTGTACACAATGTCACAAGGCACAAGAATATTTCAAAAATGATGTTATTCATACCCTGCATACTATCCTAAAATAAACAATGTTTGTGTCAACATGATTAACAATTAATGCTAACTTTGAAAGTGTCATAACATTCCAATGTTATCTTCTTGAGAAGAAGGAAGAAGTTGACACCTCCATTTATTGTTTTGGCTTCTGCAGATTCAGTAAGACAGCTCAGCACCACTTTGTTCAGGTTTTCTTCACAGCTGTAATAACCAGAAATTGAACATTCCTCACCAGACACTCCCTTAAGTAGAAACCTTAACTTAAGGTTAACTTAACCAAGACTGTGTTTCGTGACCAGAAAGTTGCTGTATGGGCCATCACTAGCCAGAGACTCAATTTAACACCAATGCATGAGACCCAGAAAGCGACTGACTATATACACCACACACAGAAGCGAAGCTTGTCTAGCAGCAGCATAAACAGTACCAGCAAGTCTGATAGCGTGGGAAGTGTTGAGGTTTCAGTGATCGCAGCTATAATGAGCAACAACAGAACAGAATCCGAATTTTAAAGACTTGTGAATTTTACCCAGACCATGGAGCGTGGCTAAGCGGAAGGGAGCAGTTGGGGGGGCTGGCTGGCAGTCAGCACCTGGATGCCGTACAGCCGACACACGCCGTACAGGAGGTGAATGGGCAAAAGGCGGGGGGGGGGGGCCCGGCTGGATCAGCCCCCTGGGGAGCAGTAGGCCCGCAATGCGGAGCGGGTGACGATAGAAACGGCATATCGCAGCCAGAGGAGCCCCACTGAGGAGGGTCCCAGGCCCAGATGCATCGTTAACCCCCCTGACACACCGACCGGCTCCCTGACAAGCCCACGGCCTGACAGGCCAGCCGGAGAGAGGGGCTCTGAGCTCCACGGCCCCCTGCGCTGCCCGGCAGCCGCTCACTTACCCAGTTGCCGAAGCCGAACTGCTCGATCGCGTCCAGCAGCAGCTGCTCCTCCCGGCTGCTCCAGCCGCCCTCGGCCTCGGCCCCCCAGAGGGTGAAGCGGCCGCCGTCCACCAGCTGGTAGCCGTGCCATCGGCGGTGCGGCCCGATCTCGGCGCCTGCCGAAAAGCAGTCTGGGCAGAGCTCGATGTCGGCACACTCGGTGCAACGGAAACGGAGCGAGCTCACCTCAGCTAGACAGTACACGCAGTACTTCTTCCCCAGTTCCGCCATCTTACCCCGCCCGCCGCGCCGCACTGCGCACGCGCGGCACCGCCCACACCCAGGGACGACCAATGGCAGCGCGCCCAAGGGGCGGGGATCCGTAGTGGGAACCCAATAGAGCCAAAGAATCTGACACGCCCCTCGCAATTGAACCAATAGGATGAGGGAGATGAGGCGTGGCGAAAACCCAACGACCAATAGAATTCGAGGCTCAGGTTCCATCCGCCTCCACTACAACAAATCAGGTAAGCGACCCTAGGCAGCCCCTTCGCGGAGTGGTCGACGGACACATTGGGGCGTCGGCCCAGTGTCTCCGCAAGGAGCGGGCTGCTCCTCCCATTGGCTGACCGAGTCCAGCGTTGTTGCCTGGGCAACGGGAGAGACAGGTAAACAACGAAGCGTGTGGCGCGGAGACTGACGCGTCCCCATCGAGCCGCGGACGGGCCCGGGAGAGGACCCAGCTGAGGGGATGGAGGGGGAGGGGGACGAGGCTCCGGCTCACCCCGAGGAGTCCCCTGTGGAGGCAGAGGGCCCGGGGCCCGTCGCGGAGGAGCAGGCGGCCGGAGAGGAGAGGCCGGAGGAGGCCGAGGGCGATCGTCCCCTTGAGAAGCCGGCGGGGGAAGAGGCTGCCGCGGAGGAGGGGGAGGCAGAGTCGGATCGCAGAGCGGGCACGGGGCCTCCTTCCCCGGCGGCTGAGGGAACCCCCGAGGCGGAGGCGGCAGCCGCCCCAGAGGCGCCCACCAGCGCCAGCTTCACGGAGGGCGAGGCCGAGGAGCCGCCCCCGCTGCAGGTGGGGGAAGTGCTCAGCCCCCAGGGGAGCTGGGGGGAGGGGCGGCTCAGCCTGCCCCTGCTGGAGCTGGGCAGCCCGGAGGACGAGGAGGAGGCGGAGGAGGCGGCGGCGGCGGTGGCGGAGGAGCAGCGGCGGCAGCGCGCGGAGCTGACCGAGCAGTACCGCCTCCTGCTGGCCGAGCGCGAGCGCACGCGCCAGGACAACGGGCACCTGCAGTTCAAGCTGTACGAGCTCTTCCGCAAGAAGGGCGAGGAGCCGCCCCGCGCGGAGCTGGAGGAGCTCGTCTCCGACAAGGAGCACCGCTACACCCGCTACCTGGCCATGCTGGGGGAGCTGAGGGGCCAGCTGGCCCAGCAGAGGGCATGGTACCAGCTCCAGATAGACGACCTGGAGCAGCGCTGCACGGAAAAGCTGGAGCAGGTGAACGCCGACTGGCTCGCCTTCCAGGCCTGCAAGAAGGAAGTGACCCTCTTCACCATAGGGCGCCAGCTGGGGGGGAAGGAAGCTGCCATTAAGGAGGTGGAGCACATACAAGCCAAGGAGCAGCGTAAAGAGAAGGAGATGAGTGAGGTGAGCCCACCCCTAACCTGGGACATGAGCTTCCAGAGCAGCGTCCATGAAACCTAGGGAAGGTGGTCCACAGCTAGCATCACCGTAGAGTACCTCCCCCTCTAATGCATATATTTTCAACTTTGGGCCAGATTTATAAAAGCAGTTAGGCACCTATAAATGAAGGAGCCACTTGTGAAAATCCTACTAGGTATCTAGCACCTGCTAAAATTCAGAAGATGCTGCTTCATGGATTAGGTCATTTATACTTAGACTTGACAAAGCACAAAGAAGGCCTGTCTTGATAGAGAGGTGGATTAGAAAAGTTAATAAATCTTTCCTGCTCTCTCATTTCTACCATTCTAGGGCCGGTTGGAAAACATCAAGCTGCAGCATAAGGTTGAAAAGCTTGAAGCCAGCCTGAAAGCTCAAGAGGAGCTGGCAGAAGGACTGCACCTGATAGACTATGAGCAGCTGAAGATAGAGAACCAGACCTACAATGAGAAAATTGAGGAGCGCAATGAAGAGCTTCTGAAGCTCCGGAAGAAGATCACTAACACAGTGCAAGTCCTGACCCAGCTCAAAGAAAAATTGCAGTTTGTAGAAGCTCAGAATCAAGACCAAAGGGCCCAGCTGATGGAGATTGAGGCACTGGTGGCCCAGAAAAGAGAGATTCTGACCAGAACAAAACAGGCTAGGGATAGTTTACGGGTACAGAACCTGAAGTTGCGACAGAAGTGTGGGCTTCTCGGAAGTGAGATACTGCTGCGGGATTTCGAGAACAAGGTGGATACTGCTGAAGTGCTAAGTCAGCAGCTGGAGATGCTGAAACGTCACCATGCTGGACTCACCCTTACTTGCAAAGCTGTAAAGAAAAAAATCAAGGAAGCAAAATCCTTTCTACCAGAATGAGGATTTTGGAGAAGAAAGTGAGGTTAAGACAGAAAAACAAAAATTGAGCACTTAAATTGGTTTATTTATCTCTGAAAGTGTTTTTCATGCACAGGCTTGGTATGTAGTAAAAGGGTGAAATATTCTCAATTTCACATCTAATGAAAACTTTGTTTCCCAAGTTTTAATATTATACATTCCATCAGGAGACTGCCATCAAGTTATACTTTTTTCAATGGCTCATGAAAAAACCAAGAGTAATTAGCCAAATATGCTATCAGATAGATATTTTAAGTCTGCTTTTAAAAAACACACACACTGGCACTATTCTAATCCCTGGCAGCATCACCTTCTGGTGTAAGCAAAAAACTGCAAGTCAAATGCCCTCAGATTCCAGTCCTGGTTCTGCCACTAACTCCCTGTGTGGCTTTGGGAGTCTGTTCCCCACAATGCTGAAGTAGGTGTACTTACCTACCTGTGTCTCAGACATGATTTGAGGATTAATTTTTGTAAAGCTCTTTGAAGATATAAAGTGATATAGATTGTAAATAATACAGTTTACTAGGAGCTTGTTTTAGTATTAATACATAGCAGTTGTCTTATATTTATATGCATAATACACTATATAGGTGTTAACTAACCTAGTTATCCTCAAGCTATGGTTGGTGAAGCACCTGTGATCTGCAGCATCTTCCCTATTGGTCTACAGAATTAAACAGTTTGGCAGCCAAGCAGCAGAGAGTTGAAAGGGAGATCCATGAAAAGTTCTCTTATGAAGATGTTCACAGAATGAAAGAGCTGCAGAATTATGCATGCTAATTAATCCTTAAATCATCCTTGTGAGGGAGTTAATTTATTGGCCACTGGTAGATGAAAAATCCTTGCAGAGGGCAGGATTGCATGCACTGGTCTAGTAAGTAATGAGTGGCTAGTGACTGACCTTTTTCTGGTTTCTAATGTTAAAAGAAATGTCTCTACAGCAGTGAAATAATGTGGGTCAGAACAGTGGCAGGGGGTTATAACTTCAGTACTTAGTGAGCAAGATGATCAGCAGTAGTTTTAACATTGGCATTTATATACTAAGGCAATAGACACCTTAGACATACTTTACCTGGAGATCCAAATCTCTCCTAACCCCAGTAAATCATGCTGGTTCATTGTGGACTTAGTACAGATCCTAAACTACACAAGTTCATGCAATAAGCATAATTAGACATATCAGTCTCAAAGTCTGCACACGTTCAGCATACATCTGAGAAATGACAGCATCGTGAGGTTCTAATTACAAAATGAACTAAAAATATTCTTGCCTTCTCAGTAACAGTCCAGTGCACTAGATCTTGGCAAACAAGAATCAGCCAACTTATTCTGAGTTTTCTTAGCTAAGGTATATAAAAGAGTAGATTAAAAAGGATTAAGAAGTTTCTAAAAATGTTTACAACTTTTTTTTTCTAGGTGATCTCTGAAGTAGCTTTTCTGAGTCACCTTAACATTGGAAAAAAATTGATACCACACCTAAAAAATTCTCAGTTGGGAGGGAGGAATTGGGATCATGATGGAAAGCTGGTCATTTTATTACTGAGAGCATAAAAGGTTGGTCTTCTATCCTGGAGAGATTACAGTCTCTGAAAACAATCCTGCATGATCTTGGAACAGATTAGATGCCACAGTATATGTTTTTCATCTTCTCTAATTAGTTTGATTTGATGATGTCCCTTAAAGTCTTTTTTTTTTTTTTTGCAAAATGGTTTGAGTCACAGCAAAAAAATTCAACTGTACTAAATACCTCATTTTATGTCTATTGGTTTTTAGTGCTCTACTAAATCTCCAGTAGTGATCAGAGACTACAAACTAGGTTGACTAATTGGGGCAAAACACCACTACCCAGTTTAATCTTTTCTCTCTTGCAGACACTAGCCAGCATAAGGAGACATATCAATAAATATAGTGGCCAACATCTTAAATGAAAAAGGGAAATAAATTTATAAAACCCTGTTTCTTTCAGGTTAAGCCCCGTTACTCAGGCAAATAGGTAAGCTCTTCATCAGCTAAAATTTTAAGTTAAAGATGTCCTGTTGTGCAGTAGAGCATCTATTTGGTTTCCTATTCAATTGTTTTGGTAAAGATATAAGGACATAGGAGTAATGGACTCCCTGTAACAGAATTACACTATCTACTTCAGCCTCAGTATGATGATCAAGTTACAGTTCTCTCTCACCATAGCATTTATGAAGCTTGCTCTATTTTCTGTTGTACTTACTCTCCCACTACTCCAGAGGAGCAATATGTATTATTCCTACTTTTTGATGTATGTTCCAAAGCCCTACTAGTGTAGTTGGATTTCCTTTAAATAGTCTTCTTACACTTTGTTCCTTTTGTCTCAAGTGAAAAAATAAAATGGCTTATGTGACACTTTCTAAGACTATTAAGCAGCAAGGGCTAACATGCCTTTCACTTTCAGGTACATATAGCCCAAGGAGGAGAGGCTAGTAGGCACGGAAAAGAAGCTCCTCAGGGTGGAGGTTTGACTGAGATGGGGAAGAATGTAGGGAGCAATTGCACTCTTCAGCTGTTAAAAACAAATGAACATTCACTTAATCTTATGCAATTTCCTCGGAAATTTCTTCTCTCATTGTGTCCCAATGTTGTGAGAACAAACAGTTACAACTTTGGTCTTCCAAAGCCCTTCCTCCTGAGGAAATTGATTAGAATTTCAAACTGTAACCAGAAGTCGGCAACATGTCTGTACACTGACACCAGTGTCCATAGTAAAAATTTTGAGGTCCGTGGGGGTGCTCACCTCCGGCAGCTCCCCACC